CACTATGTTTTTTTTTTTTTAATAAAATAATATTATTATAAATTATTATGTTATATATTCAAAATAATTTGTTATAAATTGGACGTTAGAATAAAAAAAAAAAACTCATTCAACTGAAATTTAGCAAAACAAAAAACACCATTCAACTTAAAAATGAAAAAAAAAAGTACCATTAATGTGATTTTCGATTGCTCTGTAACACGAACGAGCCTGTCTCTGCAATCAAAAAATTATGTATTGATTCAGGGTCTACTAACACCCTGAATCAAAAATATAAAACAATAATTAGTAAATATTTTTTTGCTAACAAATTACATATATATTTTTTAATATATTCTTTAACTATATTTATATATATATATATCTTTTAATAAATATATACATAATTTTTTTAATACAACTAATTATTAATATATATATATATATTTTAATATATCTTTTATTTAACTTTTTTAAGTGAAATTAATTATTATTAATAAGTGAAATTTTTTACCCATTTAATTAGTGATAAATTATATTAATTTTTTTTCAAATAAATTAATTAATATAAATTTTTTTATTAATATATTATTTTTTCGTTTTAAATTAAAATAATTATAATTTTAAATTATAATTTATAATTTTTCATTATAATTAAATTATAAGTACTATTATAATTTATAAAAATAAATAAATAAAATGACCAGACGAACTTTCCGGACGGTTTTTATGCCGTCCGAACCGGCCGGCCGGACGGGCTAAAAGCCGTCCGGTTCCGGCGGCCGGACGGACTAAAAACCGTTCGGTTTCGGCGGCAGGACGGTTTTTTTTTTTTTTACTTTTTGAAAAAAATGTCAAGGGCAAAATTGTCCAAGAGGGGACGGTGAGTAGTAATAGGGGGGCGGTGAATAGCAATTGAGTAAAACAAACATAGCTTGAAATCCACTGAAGCTCTTGGTCGAATTCAATGTGCTTGAAATTATTTGACTATAACCTCCTCTAAAATATTATAACTACCACTTTAAACCAGGTAATTTAATCATGTATTTATAGTACTAATTGAAATTATTCATCCTTTATTAAATTAGAAAAAGAGGGAGGAAAGAAGTGGATTGAAATTAGAAAGTTTGAATATTGTTGAGCATTGAGATTTTTGTGCGCAGAGATATCTATCATTATATAAAAAAAAATAACCTTTTATAAATTTAGAAACTTTTTTCCGCCAAAATCATTAAATATATCATATATATAGTAATTGTTGAACAAATCTGAATAGGCAAAAAAATCGACTCATTAATTGTGTAAAGATTTGTTTCTCTTTTTCCTGTTTTTTATTTTATCAAAACCGTTGTTTGACAATAAATATTTGTTTTTCTTTTTCCTATTTTTAGTATAAATCTACACGAGCTTATCTCTTATCTCATTGCATACGTCTGTTTAAAAAATCTCATCCCTTATCTATACAGATTTGAATAAATAAAATAAAAATTAATTCATAATTACTACTAGAAATCAATAATCTTTAAAAGAAAAAATAAAATAAAATAGAAACCAATTCATAATTATTACTATAAATCCATTATCTACTTTAAGAAGTTAATTTTCATCGGTCTAATTACTAATATTTTTACAAATATTATAAGCTAACCATACAAAAAAGTATAATAATAATTTTGAAATGGTGTGTAATCAAATTTTTTTATTCTCTTATACAAAATAATTTTACATTGTTTGACCCTGAATCTTTAATTTATAATTATTAAATATTGTTTATCCTCTTCTTTAATTTATAATTTTTTTTTCTTCCTCTTTTTAAATAGGATCAATAGTAGTTTTCACTTCCGTCATTGAGTGACTCAAACTCGAGATCTATTTATAATATTGTTAGTTTAATATTATTCTCGTACATCGCACGGGGTATACACTAGTTTAATAATTAACGACTATGGCTATAAGTGCTATTAAACCAATAACTAAAAGTGCTATTACAAGTCACAACTTAATAAACTAGAATACTTACTAATCCTATAGTTAAAACCCCGTGGGCATATGAAGCTCACCCGGCTAAACCCAAGAATATATAAACAGTGATTACCAAAACTTTGGCTTAAGTTCATTCTGTGCTCATGCTAGACACTTATTTTTACTATACAATCAAAATTTACACACAGCTCAACTGAAAACAGATTTGAAACTTGTCTTTTTTTTCTTTTAATTTCAAAAATATGGTACTTGGTAATAAATCAGAGTTAAATGTGTGGTAAGTAAAGGGGTTGCATTTCGATTTTTCAACCGAATCTCCAATTTCGGCAATCACAATGAACCTTTGCTAGCGAAGCCATGTAGTCATCGGACCTGAGTTATAACCATTATTAGATAGAGCATAGATTGTAATACTAATTAAGGAAATAATTAGTATTAGGAAGAGAAGTGAGAAATAATTGCAGACACCAAACCTCGAACCATAAGGAGATTTACATGCAGCCATTAGGTGAAGCTTAGCTTCATCGGGCTTATTCTGCACCAGAGAAATAATTAGAATATTTTCAAATCAGGAGATCTTCATCTTGTTTATAGAATCACAAAAAACATTTCTATGAAGTTTCGGTTTAGTAGTTCTGTTAACAAGAGAAGAGCTGCAACCAAATTTCACGTAATCAAGGCAGTGAATAATAATTCTTGAATTATCTACGCCCGACTAAAAGACAAACATGTACTGGATATTTGACTGTCTTTGTAATGATATTCGAAGAAAATATGGTTCAGAAGAAAACCTGAGATTCATAATAAAGCCCAGCATATAAAGAGGAATAAAAATATTCGTTCTCACGTCCACCTGAAAATGCTGCAACGAGCTGCACACAAAAAACTGTGTTACTACTTCTCAAGGATCCTTAAGAATTGCCAATTTATGCACATACTCAATACTCCGATGAATTAAATAATTAAACAAGAAAAGAAAATACATAGCTCGATCGTATAATAAAATACAAAAATGGCTACGCATAATTACTTGTAAATTCACCTTTTCAGGGTCACCACCATCTCTAAACAAGCGATAAGCTTCCCTCATGACAGGCCGGGGATCTGTACCAACCTACAATACACAAATAATCTACTTTCCTAAAAGTTGCAAGATACTGCCTAATACGTCCTTTTTAAAATGCGAAAGACCACGAAATGCATATCGAGATACAGTTCTTTATTAGCTTCCTCAATGTGCCATGATTATGAATTTATGAGATAACAGTGAATAAGAATTTTAGTTTATACTCGGACAAAGCAATTGAAATGCACATCTATAGTACTTCCATCATCCCCCACAAAATTAATAAGGTAGTTTCACGAATAATCTTAGCCATTCACCTCCAGAAACCGTTTTCTTGCCTCATCAACGCCATATAATCGAGCTTCACAGAGAAAACACCAAATTGATTCCTCAGTATCATCGGGGTTTTGTGCAACATCTAGTCTAAATTGCTCTGCTCCCTCTTCAAATCTAATTAAAAGAGTACATAATACAACCATCAAATGTTAAACAATCAAACGAGAAAAAACTATTGCAAGTGAAACGAAAAACGCAATAAGATAAGACACGAAAAAACAGTACCGATCAAGATAGTATAGTGATAACCCTCTCTGCCAAAGGTCTGATTACCTAACAGAAAGCATTAATATCAGTAAACAATAATCAATCGTTGTTTCAATGCAGATTAAACCAAATTTACTAAGCTAACACCATCATCCATATAAGAAGAAGCTAGTTAAAAGTTAAAGTAATAACACAAAATAAACATCGAAAAACCAGCAAGCTAATCAATTACAATATTCTGAAATCATTCCATATGAACATTGGCTACTAGTCAACTAATATGCTTCTACATCCTTAAAATTCATTCGAACAATTTACAAGAAAACTTACACGCCCTCTGGCGTTGATCGAGCTCGATAGCCCTGTCGAACTCGACTAGCGAGCCCTGCACGTCACCCTTCACCACAAAACACAAAAGTAAGATTCACGGCGCAACCACAAACCAAAACAGAAAACACATACGTAACAAAAGGAACCCTAACATCAATTTGGGCCTTTTTCTATTTTCTTTTTCATTTCCATTTTCAAAACCCGTTAACTAGCTTCACCACAGTGAAACAGAGGAAGTAACATCACAACAACTTGGAATGTAACAATTGAAGTACCTGTCTGAAGAGAAGCATCCCCCGTCGGATAGCGAGGAGGGCTTCGCGGGCCGGGTCGGCGCCAGTTAAGGCATTCCAGAGCCCGGAAACTGCAGGGACAACGATAAGCCTCCTGGACAGCGACGGAATAGAACTGCGGCGGCGGTGAATTCTGGGAAAAGTGGTGCCAGAAAATTGGAACGTGTTGGGTCGAGGTTTGCCTATGAAGGCAGAGAGTTGAGAGGATGAGATTGTAAGCGAGCAGATTTGATTTCGATTCGCAACAGTACTATTGCGAGCTGCCGCCATTAGAGACATAAATTGTTGGCAGACGAGGAAAGAGTGACACAGATGATGACGAGCAAAAATGAACACTCGTGGATTGTGGATGACTTCTATCAGGTTCTATCCTTATGAATTTAAAAATATATACATAAATATTATTTTATTACATTAACCTTAATACTTTTCATTAGCTTTAATCACT